AGTAGGAAAAAAAGCAAAGCAGCTCTGCAGCCAGCTTTGGAAAATAGTTAATAAAGTTGCAAGTGAGAAGGAAGGCAAGAACTATTTGGAGAAAATGAGCTTTCAAAAACAAATAATCTTTCTTATAGACTTAATGTGGACCATTGATGCTTGGCTTAGTATCTTCAAAGGAGATAGTATTATTCAAAGGAATAAGATATAGTGAGATAGATGCAGGTACTCCTCGGTTTCACAACTACCTGTTCAGTGAGGGATCCTTGGTGCTCTCTGAGCTTGGCTGTTTTCTTGTAGATCAATGGTTCTCAACCTTTTTAATGCCACGACCCCCAACCGGTCGTAAGTCAAGGACTACTCAACCGGTTGTAAGTCGAGGACTACCCAACCAGTCATAAGTCGAGGACTTTCCCTGCCTGGGAGTGCCACGCATGCGTGGTGCCGCCCCCTGCGCCGGCCGAGGCGTAACTGGCAAGGGGCAGCAATGGCGCAGGGTGACCACCTGCTGGGCCACCAGTTGGCCCAGCCCACTGGAGGTAAGGCTCCCGCCGGGCCCCACGCGGGCCAGCAACCCTCCCTGCGCCCACCGGCCTCCCACCTGCCATCCCTGGCCCTCTTTTACTTACATTTTTAGTAGTTGCTCAGCAGGGAGGGGTGGAAACTTCCAGACAGCTCGCCTTCGCTGCAGACAACTTGCAGCACCGTTTTCAGAATGGGACTTTTGGCGGGCTCAGCAGGGCAGAGACAGCCTGGACAATTCCTATTGGCTTTTGAAAGCCAATAGAATTAGATTCTATTCAAGAGAGTCTATTCTACTGGCTTTCAAAAGCCAATAGAATAAAAGGGAGTAGCACAGCTAAGGAAAAGGGGAAAAAAATGGCAGACTGCGTTGTTTGGCGACCCCCGTGAAATGGTTGTTTGACCCCAAATGGGGTCGCGACCCACAGGTTGAGAACCGCTGTTGTAGATGTTTAGGTAATATCATCAGTGCTAGTAGGAAATGAGGTTTCTGTTGGAAGGTAGGACTGAGCTGAATGAGTGGTAGTTACAATCAGTCCTCAAAGTTCCAGCTGTCTCAGCACTCCTTGGTACATGCTCACTGTCTTGGCACTTGGCAACCAGCTGCCACTTACACCAGTTGCAGTGTCCCATGATTGCCTGTAGGTTTATTTCTTTATAAATTTGTGCTGAAAATAGAACAGGAAGCGAGGGATAGGTTAAATTTTAGTCAAAGCATGTGATTCAGTGGAGAAGGAGGAAGACACATCACTGGTGGAGTTTAAAACTGGCAAGAACTATTTTCTCATAGGGCAAGATAGCTCTCTATTAGCACTTGGTTGCCATCTAATGGGCAACAAAGTCCTATCATCCTGAAAAAGTTTGTGCTGAAATGAAACTGAAGGCAAGATGCAAAGTCACAGCATCTGAAGCTGTAACCAGAGAAGGGTAACTAGAATCTGATGGACATTCCCAGCCTTTCTATTAGTCCAATACAGCAAATATGATCTTGCATCCTAAGAAGGCCTTAATTCTAAAATATCTCTACAAGGATACTATTTCTACAGTGAACTGCAATTTTATATTTCAAAAATTCAAATTCAAACATTTATATATCATTTTCCAAATAAATCTTCAAAACATATCATTTCTTTTGCATATATGAACTAATGCAGGATATTTGCAGAAAAATTTAAAGGGTACATGGGAAAATATTAATACTGGATTCTTTTTAACAAAAATATTCCTGTGATGATCATCTATGATCCTGCTCACTGTAAGAAATGATGAATACAGGTAGTTCTTGTATTACAACAATTGGAATTTCCATCACTAAGTGATGCGGTCATCATGCATGACATCATGTAATCATATCACTTAGCAACAGAAATCTCAGCACTCCCAGATGACACTGTTACCCCAGGACCACATGGGTTAAACAGGTTGAGACAGAGTCCCAGGAAGCAGTTCAGCGGGTGTGTAAATGCTACAGAAGGGTGATGTGGGCACTAGAGTTCAGATGGGCAAAAAAGCAGAGAGAGTGACTTATGACTTCCTGCCAGGTTCCCCATAGACTTTGCTTGAGAGAAACAAACACTGAACGTTGGAAATCACAATCGCATGATTGTAATTACAAGCTGGGCACCAAGTGCCCATAATCCAGTCCTATGACTGCAGTGATGTTACAACGGCCTGAATTCTAAGGACCAGTCATAAGTTTCCCTTGTTCAGCATTACCGTATCTCTGAATGGTCATTAAACAGAAAAAACAATAACATAATAACAGAAAACAAGTGTGTGTAACCTGAGGACTACGTGTATATATCAGAACAAAAGACCACACTGGAAAAAACATTCCTTTGTCAGTGATTCTACCAATCTCTCTCATTATTTTTACCAAACCCTTTAGCTGGAGAGTTTAGGAACAGAACTTAGAAATAAATGTTTGTATGCAAAATATATATTCTATCATTAGGTTGTGTATCCAAAGACAGATAATGCAATCCTCTGCTGGACTGATTAGTCAAATTTATACACCGCCAACTCTTCATAGATCCATGGCGACTTACATTTCTATGTCAGTCTTCATCCAAACAAACCCTTAATTCTGCAGAAGGTAAAAATAATAAAACAAAACAACAGTAATAATAATGTTGAAGAGATCTTGGAGGTCTTCTAGTCCAACCCTCCCTCAGGCAGGAAACCCTATACCATTTCAGAAAAATGATTGTCCATTCTTTTCTCAAAAACTTCCAGTGATGGAGTATTCCCAACTTCTGGAGGCAGGTTGTTCCACTGATTGTTCTGTCAGGAAATTTCTCCTTAGTTGCTTCTCTCCTTGATTAGTTTCCATTCATTGCTTCTTGTCCTGCCTTCAGGTGTTTTGGAAAATAGCTTGACTCCCTCTTCTTTGTGGCAACTCCTGGGATATTGGAACACTGCTATCATGTCACCCTAGTCCTTTTCTTCAGGACAAGAAGCAATGGGTGGAAACTAACCAAAGAGAGAAGCAACCTAGAACTAAGGAGAAACTTCCTGACAGTTAGAACAATTAATCAGTGGAACAACCTGCCTCCAGAAGCGGTGAATGTGCCAACACTGGAACTTTTTAAGAAGAAACTGGACAGCCATTTGTCCAAAATGGTATAGGGTTTCCTGCCTGAGCAGGGGGTTGGACTAGATGACCTCTAAGGTCCTTCCAACTTTATCATTATTATTAAACTAGACATACCCAATTCCAGCAACCGTTCTTTATATATGTTTTAGACTCCAATCCCCTAATCATCTTTGTTGCTCTTCTTTGTACTCTTTCTAGAGTCTCAACATCTTTTTTATATCGTGGTGACCAAAACTGGATGCAGTATTCCAAGTGTGGTCTTACCAAGGCGTCATAAAGTGGTATTAACATTTCATGTGGTCTTGATTCTATCCCTGTTAATGCAGCCTAGTACTGTGTTCGCTTTTTTGGCAGCTGCAACACACTCCTGGCTCATATTTAAGTGATTGTCCACTAGGACTCCGAGATCCCTCTCAGTTATTACTATTGAACAAAGTACCACATATACTGTACCTGTGTATTTATTTGTTGCATAAATGAAGAACCTTACTTTTTTCATCACTGAATTTCATTTTGTTAGATAGTGCCTAATGTTCAAGTCTATCAAGATCCTTCTGTATCTTAAGCCTATCTTCTCGAGTGTTGACTATTCCTGCCAGCTTGGTGTCATCTTAAAATTTGATGAATTCCCCATCTATTCCCTCATCCAAATCATTGAGGAAGATGTTGAAGAGCACTGGGTCCAGAATAGAGCCCTGGGGCACCCCACTACACACATGATGCAGTTCTATTTAAGACCACACGCTGAATACAGCCATCAGCCAGCTACAAATCCATCTGGTGGTGATGCTGTTTAACCCACATTTTTCTATCTTATCAAATAGTAGCTTTATCAAATGCCTTACTGGTCTACTTTATCAAATGCCTTACTGAAGTCCAAGTGCTTGGGAAACCAGTCATACAATGATCAAGTGCAAGCTGTTATAGAAAAATAACATGAGAATCTGCAATACAGAATTACTGAGTTTCTTTCCTTAATTTTTAATAATGAGTGAAGAATTTAAAACATAGAATTATTACCAGAATCAATTGGTGTATACACTAATGCTTTAGCAAGCAAGACACCTTCAGTTAATATCATAACCCACTCTATGGTTATCACTGTATCCAATAAGCATAATAGCATTAATTGACTATCAAGTAAATTGTATTGTACCAGAAAGAAAATGGAATACCCACTCTCTGGTATACATGTCTATAGCAGATGCAAGGAGGGCAAGTAATGAAACATATTATGATATGAACCATGTGATTCATATACGTTCTTTGGTGGCCTGATTTCCTTTTACCCCTAACTCTTCCAAGCATAACTGCTTTCTCCAGTGAATTCCCCTGCAAGACATGACCAAAAAAAAAGTGAGACACACTTTTCTGATTTTGACAGAATGGTAGCCAGTGCAATCAATCCACTTTTACTTCTATGTAAGAAATAGGAATAGAATGTAAACTAGTACTTTTAATCTCAACAATTTAAAGCAACTTGGCTGGGGAATTCTGGAACCTGAAATTCTCACAAGTTAAGTTGTTGAGACTGAGAAACACTGATGTAGACATAAGAATGATCCTTTTTAGCAAATATTTTTGACCCACAGGTAACAAGGTAAACTTTACCAGAAATAAAAGGTACCTGCTAACATTAGTAGAAATGTTTGGAATTATATACATTTGTTGATATTGCTTTGCTTTGTAGTATTATTGTAGCTTCCTGGCTATTTATCAGTAAAGTAGGAACATCTGGCTAAGCTGCTGCAATAAAACACTGAAACTGAAAAGTTGCTTTGCTTTGCTGTGTTAATAAAAATGAGAAGATTCACAAAAGGCATCTTAAGTGCTGTGCCTTGGATCAACCTCCCACATGCTCATAATAAAGTCACTATATACTGAAATTACATTTTTGTGTAACAATTTCTAGCCGACAAAGGAAATAGTGCAACTGAACAGAAATTTTATTTTACAGTACTTGAATTATTTAATCTAATTTCGTCATAACTAGTAACACTAACTGATCAACGACACACTATGACCTTTCTTTAAACTGAAGAACGTTAAACAGGATGTTAATTTAAAATAAATTTAATTGAAATTAAATATGATTTACAATAAATTTTTTATGAGTACTACAACTTCCCTTTGTTATCCTGCCAACCTGATGCATCATGGAAAGCTCTAGAGGTGACATGCCAGCATTATATGGATATTATTAAAATATCTGGGACTATCCCATCTTCAAAAACAGTGAACTGAGCAAAGCATGTACACAACCCAAGTGGTTTTTTTTTTTGTTGTTGTTGTTGACAGAGAATAGCATTCCATGGACTTTTAAGTTCCTGCAACCAGTCTGAAACTAAAAGTTCCTACATGGGAATCTATGCCTCCTTCCATTCTTTCAATGGCTTTGATTGTATTTCCCAGCAATATTTTATGTACAAAATATTTTATAAATTTTATGTACAAAAATATGTACAAAGATCTAGCTGTATCATGTGCTTTTTCCACATGCATTCCTCATGCCATACATTATTGGGTTATTCTGGAAAACAGCTGACCCTTCAACTAGGACGGTAACATACAACAGGGCGTCTGCCTTGTTGTATTTCAGAAGAACAAAAAACCATTTGAGAAGTATTCATACAATAGGACCGAATGCATGAATGCACAGGCTACAAACCTGCAGGTCAAAGGGAACAGGAAAGGAAAGAACTATTCCACAAGTATGGTATCAATGCTCTCTTGAGAGAGGTCAGGATCCAATGCATTTTGTGAATCCACGTGACCTTGTGAGAGAGTGCCACTTTTCGCCATACTTGGGATCCAATTGTCACCATATGGCTGAAACTTGATGGCTGCTGTATTGCCAACCCGCTGGTATCGGCCAAATTTGAAGTGTTTGCCTTTGTGCGTATACATGTGTTCAAGAAGCTGATTTTTTCGGAGAAATTTGTGACCACAAACAGTGCAGCTGATCTTTCTTTTCCGTGAAAAGGAAAAGTTACAGTTTAATTCCACAGGTTCTGTGTCCTTGGACACCAGTGAGAGCTGGCCAATTGGCAGTGCCTGTAGGTTGGGGTGGCTGGGATATTCTGAATAGTGCTCATTCTCTTTCTGAAGGAAGGAACTGAGTCGGTGACTTTCAGTAGCTTCACAGTTTTCACTGAGAGGCTGCAGCTGGCTAAGGTTATTGCTTTCCAGGATAGAGGTTGGAACCCTAAAGGGCAATGATCCTGACACATGAGTAAACAGGTGTTCACACAAATTGTTCCGGGATTCAAAATGCTCCCCACAGTACTGGCATAAATGAACTTTGAGGTTTTCTTTGGAAATAGATGGACCCCTGAGATTTGGGGAGGATGATGTGTGACTCTGAGACACAACTGGCTCTGGGTCAGTCTTCTCCTGTTTTATAGTCACAGGTGGATTTGCAGCCTCCTCTGGTGGTTTCACAGCTGACTTAGTAGAAGGATGGGAAACCTGCTGGTCCAAAGACCCATCATCCAGCCCAATTGCCAGAGATAGCTGGAGCTGAGGATGATCTCCCTGATTAGTGGCTCTACTACCAATGTTGGTTAAATTTTCCTTTGCTTGGAGATTCTCCTTCACAGCCTTATGTGTGGTTGAAATCTGAATCCCATAAAGGTTTGAAGACTGCACAACCTCCGGAGAAAGCATCTGGTTCATTTCAATTGCCATGCGGGAAAGATAGTCAGCATGCAGGAAACGGATGCCTTCCTCTAGCCGCGTATGATTGACCATCTGTTTAGGTCCTTTGCCAGTGTACATTATATGAAGCAAGTAGCTGAATATGTCAGGTTGGATATCAGTGGGCTGAATCTTTATGCATTCACTGCTTGAAACAAAAGTGAGAGTTAAGTAAGAACATCATGGTTTAACCTCTGTTTATTGAAGGACAAAGACAAACATATTCAGTATGTCTCAAAGGAGCCTTAAGAACCAATATGTTAATTAAGATATACAATTTTAGGGATTCGGAGGCCCTTCTATAAATGCATAAAATGGAATTCCAAAGTGACATATAGGAATATAGGTGCACAAAATGTAAAAAATATTAGGAAAAGTACCAATTGTGAAAATATATTAAAATGTGACTACATATCTAAGAACAAAAGCTGGCAGATACTCTAGGCTTATATATATATACAAATGGTTGTTATACTTTCCGTCTGGCTTGAGATTGCAAGAATAGTGTCATCTGGAGACTGTGGCCACCATCCTGACTTCTCCCTGGTGACACCTGTGAGGGATGTGTGTTGTTCTGAAAACTGCTCCCCATTTCCGCATTGCTCTTATCAGCTCTCAGGAATTAAGCTAATGAGGTGTTTCCCCCACTCAGGAGTGGCAACTTGCTGCTGTTGGGAGTGAGAGCAGTGCTGTCTTCTGAACATAGCAGGGGTGAGAAAGGAGAGCTCAGGAACTTTTTCTTCTTGTCTCAAAAGCCAGACACCCCAACTCATAAAATTTAGCATCCAGAAAGGATTATTTGTAATTGTGAAGAAAATAAGAAAGAAAAGAGTAGGAGGGGAACTCACACCTAGTGCACTGATGGAGAGGAAGAAACTTATATTTCTTAAAAGGTACAACTCCCTGTCCAACTTCTCCCAAAATCTCCTTGTCCCTTTTGCTGAGTTTCCTCCCACATTAGATCAAAGATAACATCCCTATTTTCAGCTAAAGGAAGATAGTCTCTCCAATAGGAACACTGAATGTGTGGAAGCTTATGCTTCTGTTCTCACTGCAAAAACATAAATGGCCACAGAATCACACAGCCCTATGATTTCGATGGAAGAAGAAGCATCCAGCAGTGGGACCTTCCAGTAACTCTTCTGCTATAAAACAGAATCTTCTCATAGTAGGTCTGTTTTCTGATGGATAAATATATCCTTTAAGCCAATATTTTTCAAGCTTAGCAATTTTAAAATGTGTGGACTTCATTACTCAAAATTTTCCCAGTCACACATCTCAAAGTTGCCAAGTTTGAAAAATGTTCCTTTATTTATTTATTTATTTATTTATGAGACTTATATACCGCTTTAAGTGCAAGCACTCTCTAAGCGGTGTACACCAGTAAGCAATGTATATATATATTTACATTGCCCCCAACAATCTGGGTCCTCATTTTACCTACCACGGAACACGGAAGGATGGAAGGCTGAGTCAACTTGAGCCGGTGAGATTTGAACCGCTGACCTGCTGAACACAGTCAGCTAAAGTGGCCTGCAGTACTGCACTCTTACTGCTGCGCCACCTCAGCTCATCGTATATAATAATAAACATATATATTATATTATATATATAACATATTATAAACATATATAATAATCATAATGAAGATCATCTCATCCATCACTCAAATGACCCCTTTTATCTGAGCTCCTGATTTACTTTACTTTATTTTGCAGGCCATTCGGAGGCTAAAGAGATACCTTATTCAAAGTCATGCCCAACAGAAATGTCCATGATATACAGTTGAGGCCAGCAAATAAAATGCTAAAGGTCACGTGAGAACTGCAATTTCTGAAGCTCACATCAAAAAGTCAACATGAGTCTTATATGCTCTTCAAGAAAGGGCACCGACTTACCTTGTCTGATGAATGAATATCATCTTAAAATAGTTGGAAAAAGCAGCCAGGACAGCTCGATGAGCTTTAAAGTAGACATCTCCAATTGCAACAGTGCAGTCACAAAGAAAACCAAATTCTCGCTGCATGTTGAGTTGTTGCAGGAGGATCAGGCTGTGGCTTGCTGTATCCATTGTGCTTCTAGGAGACAAAAGAAGTTCTCTCAAGAAATATGCTAACTCCAGTGCAGTCAACTGCAGGAAGGCCTGCAATCTACTGCAAAACACTTTACCTCAGGTATGCCTTGTAAGAAAACAGAATCTCAGAACTTAAAGAGTTAATGTCAGTTAATGAAGACAGCTGTCTTCTAAGCAATATAATTATTTTCAACTATGTCTTTTGAGGGACACAGTTTCTTCTTGTTCTGTTTTATCTCTGTAATGGTGTGTGGGAATGACCTAGATCCTAGGAAGAAGGCGGAGGAGCCACTGTAATTACTGGTAAAACTGATGTCAGCCTTGTGAGGTAGTGCAGACGAGAAGCATGCCCAGATAAACTAATTCTGCTTTACTGTTTAAGCTTACATTAATAGAATCTTGCAAGCCTGAAAGTATTCCTCCCCCACTCATCCCCCACCCCCATCATATGTACAGTCAAGAAACTAGGGAGGGGCCACATCCACATTCCTGCTGAGAACTAAACTCCCTCTAATCTGATTGTCCCCCTGGCTGTGGCTCTTTCCCTTGTCTCCCAAGGTCATTCTCACATACCTACCATTAAAATATCTCAAGAATCTTTACCAAGTTAAGAGTTTCCGTGTGAAAGAGCTAATATATATACATTGTAACCAGTATAGTTTTGCTGTTATTTTAAATTCACTGGGTCTCCATGTATTCTGAAGAACCTTTTGTGGTTCAGCATTCAAGTGAAAGTGATTTGAGTGTAGCTATTTTCTAGGGCTGTATGTGAATGAATGACTATAAGCTGAACTCAGGAGCTCTCATGCAACAGTTGCAATAACACATGAAATGACAAAGGTATAATTGACCAGATGTAATGACTACTAACCTATGGAAGGAACAATTGGCACTTTGGCTGTACTTGTACAAAGGGTCTAATGATTATAATCTTCAATTCCTATTCAAGCTAGAGCTGACTGCAAATTGTCTTCAGAGCTTCAGATGGAAAATTTCTATATTTGGAAGACCTGCAGATTTATAGTCATTCATAGCCTATCCTTCTAATTGTCTAGGGAACCAGGTCAACACTTTCATCATAACACTAGTCTAGTTTAACATGTTGAAAGATCTGTAGCATAGTGATTAACTGGGCCTGGAGAGATCCACATCTAAACCTATCACAGCCAATGGAAATTCATCGGTGACTCTGAGACATACATTTTCTTACAGTCCAATATACCCTCACAGGAAAAAAATTGATGGACGGATGATTTGATAAACACAAATCTATCAAATAAATAAATATGCAGGAATCTTAAAACCAGAGCCCAGAATTATGATTATGAATGCCTACAAACTCAATGCTATTTATTGCATGGCATTGTTTTAAATACATTGTTATGTTAGTTGTTTTGATGTTAATATTTGTTTACTGGATTCAAATTTAGTTGGATTACCTTGTAATTATTATGAGATTTTTTTGTACTGAATTTTGGTAAAGGCATATATTAAATGTGTTAAATTCCTAGTATATTTCATGGAGTAAATCCCAACAAATATGATGGTGTTTCTGAATAGGAATAAGCAGAATGGCATTCTTAAATGATTCAACCTAGGGTGTAAGAAGCAGCCTGGAAGGAACTGATGAAAATAAAATCTACTCCTCTTGTTACCACCTTAACATTTGGGAGACTGAACCTGAAATATGAGGTCAGCATTTAATTTTCAGCTTTCAGAAGCTATGTTGATGTGACACATTTACTTATGACCAGCCAAACCATGGTTAAGTCACACAATTTTCTGAAGTTGCAAATGAGTTTAAACAATATTTTTGCATCCTCTGAATCCAGCCAAGTATCTTTGGCAGCATAAATGTAACTTGATTCTGAGTTACAGTAATATATATATATATATATATACTTTGCATTTTTAAACATCAACAGAAATTATTATTAAAAAAATAAAAATAAACTAGTGACAAAAATCTCTTCACAAAACTAAATATGAATTATGAACTAAAAGAGAAGCAACAGTGCAACAATAAAGCAATTCTTCATCAAATTCTGGGAGACAGATTCTTAAAAGATAAAAAAAATTCTGTCCATGTATAGTACTTAAACAAAACAAAAAGTACTCTCACTATTGCATAATAATCATGGTAAAGAGCACCACAGATTCCTACTGAATCTTTACAGATCTTTCTAAATCAAGTTCATTTGGGCTAACAGGATCGTTCTCTTTTTCTCTCCTCAATACGGTTATCTGGATCCTAGAGTTTCAATACAGGAAGCTTTTTTAATACAATGCACAGATATTAACAAAAACTTAGTCAGAATGTAAGCGCATTAATGTCATAAAACTGCCGGTTAGAGCGCAGTTTCCCCTTTCCTAATGTTCTAGTGTTTTATCCCCGCCAGTCCTACTGGAACATGGCGCCCTACACCTTCCCTGGTAAGGAAAGAGGGGAGTCGCTGACCCTCATCTGGAGGGCGCCAAGTTGGCGAAGACTCAGCTGATAAAATCAAACAAGCTTCCAGGCCGCCCTGCCGCCGCCCACCATGTCTGCAAACGCCGCGGCGAAAAGCCATGAATGTGTCTGCGTGGATGGAGCCAAGCCGACAGCCAGGCTTGCAGCCTCTCTTGAGGGTCCGCTTCCTCTTTCTGCGCTCCGCTTAGCCCAGGGGTCAGAGGCCGCAAACGGTTCTGGCTGTGCCTCGGCTCCGAAATACCCCTCTCCAGCCTCCCTGGTGAAAGCTAAGGCCGGGAGAAGGGTGCGGAGTGTTTACACAAAGAGAGGGCGCATCCGCCTCTCCTTTCAGACGCCAACGCACCCTGCGCCAGTGGTTCAACGGTTGTCCCAGTTGATACCTCGGCCGGTTGAATCCTTACCCCGATCCGCCCTTGGCACAGGAAAGCGGTAGGCGACAGCTGTAGCCTGGGGTGGCGTGCGCACGCAAGGCGCTCTCTCGCTGCCGTTTGAGCACGCGTGCGCGCGACCATCGGCTCTCCCCCCCTTTCCTAGGTAAAAGGAAAAGAAGAGCTTCGCTTCGAAAGTGGGTGGAAGTCGTGACCATTGGCTGAAAAAGAAGGGCTGAATTACTCCTACGTTTTTGAAAGCGAGCAAGAAGGGAGATATTGGGTATGTCTAGTTTAATGAAAAGAAGGGCTAGGGGATGACATGATAGCAGTGTTCCAATATCTAAGGGACTGCCACAAAGAAGAGGGAGTCTAGCTATTATGCTTGAGCAGGGAGGTTGGACTAGATGACCTACAAGGTATCTTACAACTCGGTTATTCTAGTCACAGTTTTCTACTCTCGAAAGCACCTGAAAACAGGACAAGAAAAGCAATGAATGGAAACTAATCAGGAAGAGATCCAACCTAGAAATAAGGAGAAATTTCCTGACAGAACAATTAAATCAGGGAAATCACTTGCCTTCAGAAGTTTTGGGTGCTCCAACACTGGAAGCTTTTAAGAAGAGAAATGTCTGAAATGGTATAGGGTTGGTATAGGGTTTCCTGCTTGAGCAGGGCTGGACTGGAAGATCTCCAAGATCCCTTCCATCTCTATTATTCTGTTATATTCCACTTTTCAGTGGGGGACCTGGCAAATGATCCTGGCTGAAGTGTTACCTTTGGAGGAAGAACAGAAAAGAATAACAGAGTTGGAAGAAACCTTGGAGGTCTTCTAATCCAATCTCCTATATCATTATAAAGCGGTACTAACACTTCATGCGATCTAGATTCTATCCTTCTGTTAATGCAGCCTAGAATTGAATTGGCTTTTTTGGTGACTGCAGCACTCTGCTGGCTCATATTTAAGTGATGGTTCACTAGGTCTCCAAGATCCCTCTCACAGTTATTTCTATTAAGCCAAGTTTCACCCAATCTGTATTATACATTTGCTTTTTCTTGCCTAAGTGTAAAACCTTACTTTTCTTTACACTGAATTTCATTTTGTTAGATAGGATCCAGTAGTCAGGTCTGTTGAGATCCATTTGGATCTTGAGCATATCTTCTGGTGTGTTGGCTATTTCTGCCAGCTTGGTGTCGGCAAATCTAATCAATTCCCCTTCTATTCCCTCATCTAAATCATTTATGAAAATATTGAAGACTGCCGGGCCTAAAACAGAACCTTGGGGTACTCACTGCTTACTTCTCTCCATATAGTTTCATTAACGACCATATGTTGAGTGCGGTTTGAAAGCTCACAGGACAGAAGGCTAAGGCCCAATGTCCACACTGAGCAAGAGAGCTCCCCTACCCCACCCCCAAACTTTTGGCTTATGGTATTTGAAAGGAAGTGAGGTAACACAGTTCCCATCTGAAGAGCTTCTTTGTCTCACTGTAACATTAAAATAGAGGTTAACCTAATGCAATTGCCTGGCTAATTTTGGAAATGCCATGCAGCCTTAAATTTCTGGATAACATCTGTAACCATAGGAAGAGCCAATACAATAACATTGGCTGTGTTGTGCGTTTTATTTTTATTTATTTATATCATCCCAACTATGGTTGGAAGCTGATCAAAGAGAGAAGCAACCTGGAATTAAGGAGAAACTTCCTGACAGTGAGGACAATCAACCAGTGGAACAGCTTACCCCCAGAAAGCGTGGGTGCTCCATCGCTGGAAGTTTTTAAAAAGAGACTGGACAGTCATCTGTCGTGAGATGGTATAGGTCAGGGGTAGGCAACCTTGGCTCTTTTATGACTCGTGGATTTCAAGTCCCAGAATTCCTGAGCTAGCCATGCTGAGGGGAAAGGGAGAGGTTTCCAAGCTGAGCCATGTGGATCAGGAATTCTGAGAGTTGAAGTCCACGAGTCATAAAAGAGCCAAGGTTGCCTACCCCTGGTAAAGGTCCTCCTGCTTGAGCAAGGGGCTGGACTAGAATACCTCCAAGATCCCTTCCAGCTCTATTCTAATTCTTTATTATTTTTACAAATAAGGTGAACATATCCAACACACTTTCCTCCTCCTAATTTCTCCACAACAAACTCTGTGAAGTGAGATGGGCTGAGTGACTGGCCCAAACTCACTCAACTGGCTTTCATGGCTAAGGTGGGACTAGAACTCAGTCTCCTAGTTTCTAGCCTGGTGCTGTAACCACTAGACATGCACAGTTCAATCTGAAGCTGTTGGAATTGTTGGATAAGGAAAGGCAACTATTCAGTGGCCAGAAACCTCACTTAACTTGGGGTAGGCAAGACTGAATATAGTGGGAAATGTACTGTGACACCCATTTGAGCCAAACCAAGAAGTTTGGAGGAATTCTTCCTTGGTTTCAGAGAGGGAAGTCTTTTCAGCCTATTTTAGTCATTATAATTTCCAAATGTACTGAGCCTTATGACACAAGTAATATTTCTTCATCATTGTGTTTGGGGTTTTGGATATTGCAAGAAAGGTATTCAGCTCTAATGCATCACGTTGTATACTCTTGTTTAAAGAGAAACTTATTTTCCAATTATATGTTTAACCAAAAGAGTGAACTCCCTCTTGGCAGTGAAGAAATAGGTACTACAGACAAACAAAACACACACAAGTAGCTTAAAATTTAAGCATTACAATATTGAACAATGGGGTGAAGCAAAGGAATTGATTTGGACTCAGATTATACTTTGGCACATGATCCGTGGAAGACTGGCTTCTGCAGTTAAGAAATTTGAGAGGAAATGTCTTTGACTTTGAAGAGCTCCTGGCAAAGAACATTAAAACAAACTACAAAAACCTTTCAAGTAATTTAGAATAGGTAATTGATTAAAAACATCTAATCTGAGGCTGGAGTTTTAACAGAGTGCTAGATTAGAAGGATAAGGAAACAGCAGAGAGAACTGATTTGAATTCTACACTTCTGTTTTCATTATTAAAGATTTAGGATAGATCTTTGCTAAACCTGAGTTTTTGGGTGGAGAATCAGATAAAACTGATAGGGGATGAAATCAGAGGTAACAAAAGATTAAAAATTATAAGCTAAATTAATCAGCCAAAAATAAATAAATCTCCCAGTTCAGATAGTATTGCCTATTTTCTAGAAAAAGATGTATTTTTTTATTTTGAGATTTGTTCCTGAAAAATAGCCAATTTGATTCCAATATTCAAAAAGGAATTGGGATAATAAATATTCTTGTTAGTATAATATTTGCTCTAAGGAACTACTGTAATGGAAAATATTAATGAATAGCAAAATCATAGCCTTCTTGAAAAAGAGCCACTATGGTTTTCATAAATGTATATCTCACTAGATTTTTTTAAACAGGTAGGTAAGATTTTTTAACAAATAGACAACTCAAGAGCTTTTTCGAAAAGGTGAGATCCTTCACCATCACCCTGAGTTTGGTGAGTTCCTTCATCAAAAGCTCCTGAGCAAAGTTAGTGGTCAAGAGTAAGAGGACAGGTACATTATGGAGGCAAAAATGAGGTCCTATAAGCATGTCAACAAATATATACATTTAAAATCATGCAATATAGGTAAAAAGGAGATATGTAACTTTTTCTTCCTCACTCAGAATGTTAGCATTTTAGGTAATAGAAACTCAATGCAGTGAGACTCAAGGCAAAGCTTGAAAATGCATTCATTTAACAACTCTGCAACACAAAATGCTGGATTATATGAGCCTACGACATGATCCAGCAAAGCTCTTATGTTTTTATTGCTTGGCCTATATCACTTCAAGCTGGAGGGGCCTGCAACATATTTAAGCTGCTGATGGGACATCAAATTTTATTTTGTTTTGTATAAAGATTTTATTGGTTTTTTTTTCATCAACATATGTTAATTTTTCCAATCAACAAGTTGTCTGGAGTTTGCTATGCTCATACATGTTCAATTCCTAATCCTTCATTCTTTCCTCTAGCCAAGAATAAAATAGATTCCAAATTTGATAGTAGTCTGTATCTTCTTTATCTTTCAACCTCATAGTTAATCTGTCCATCTCTGCACATTCCAGTATTTTCCTGATTATTTCTTCCTCTGATGTCAATCCTTCATTCTTCCAGTATTGTGCAAAAATTATTCTCGCTGTGTAAGATTAAATATAATTTCTGCTTATTAGTCTTTTCAGGCATAATATCTAGTAAAAAAAGTTCAGGTTTAAAATCCACTTGTTCACCCAATATTTTTTTCTAACCACATATGTATCTTTCTCCAATAGGCCTTTGCCTTACCACAGGGACATCAAATTTTAGATTACAATATTCTGTTTGAAGAAAATTAAGAGGACAAAATAATCTCAAGTATTTTGAAAATAAAAATATCTTATAAAAAGTGTTTTACATGTCTTCCTGAAAAAAAATGATTTTATCACTTGAATCTGATGACTGTAGAAATGGATTTCAAAGGGGGAATGGCTAATTTATGCCTATTACAGAGGAAGACGACTTGTTTTGATATTCTGATAATATAATCAAAGCATGCACATTGCATTCATGGAGCACTGTTGGAAACAATGGAGTAGAGGGAGATTGTTGTTGTTGTTGTTAATTGCGAAGTCGTGTCCGACCCATCGCGGCCCCATGGAGAATGTTCCTCCAGGTCTTCC